TACATATTTTTAAAAAATTTAAAGGAAAAAATACCTGAATCCAATTAGCTTATTACAATAAAAATATCCAAGACCATGTCATGTAAGGTTTCATGTCTTTAAAGTGCCGCCTCACTTCTCAAACTGCCTTCATTATTGCTTAAAATCCTTTAAGATGACTGCTGCAGATTGGTCCTAATATACTTCCAGGTCAAATGTTTGACTATCTGGGACGTGCTTATACTTTCTCTTTATGCCCTTTCAAGTGTGTCACAGTTATTGTTGATCTGAAAACCACCACAGATTGTCGACGTCTGATCCCGATGCACGGAGATGTTTGAATAGTGAGCAGTAAGAATGGAGTGGCAATAAAAAGCCCATGATTCAAAATGTTTGTACAAAACTGAAGCAATGTGTCCAGTAGCACTGAAAAGGTATTTGAGCTTCAAAAATTCAGTCATAGGCAGCATAGCTGTACTGATTTGTAATTTATCAAAAGAATCGTCCCAGTTAGACAGTTTTAAAGTAAAATCTATGAGAAATTGAGGATGAGAACAACCCTCCCCCTAACCTTCTTAAAATAAAATAAAATGAAAAAGAAATGTATTTTCCAACCTTTTTATGGACTTTCCCCTCTTTGCCTAAGTGATGAGGTGATGCTGACATTAACAAGAGGCAGTCATAGTAGTGTGTCTCACTTGGTGACAGAGGAGCGCCCTGTCCAAAGGCCTGGGAAGCAGAGCACTGGGTGTGAGAGGAGGGAGTGAGGGCTCAGGGAGACACTGGGCTGTCTGTGAGGCAAAGGGGTAAAAAGCTGGGTCCTGGAAAACCGGTAAAGTGAGAAAAAAAATAGCTGCGGGGTATGAAGGAAGGGGAGGCCACAGTACTGAAAGGAGAAACAGAAATAAAGCTAGATGTCAAAATGACTTTAGGACAGGCACAGAGAAAAGGGAAAGATCCCTGGACCACCAACCCCTGGCAATGACTCTGACATTGAATGACATTATTTCAGCAGGCACAGGCCAGTTTCATTAGGGTACTGACCTCTATGAGACACTGGGGGCTCCCATTTGCCTAATACAGATTCCTTAAGCTGCCATTGGTACAACCATGGCGAAAATGACCAGCTCCCTAACAATGCAATGCATCAGCCAAACAGGGCACCCTGGCCTTGTCCAAATTTTCCTTCTTCCCTGTCACCTGTTCTCCCTCAGCCCATGGCTTGCAATCTCACAAGGTAGAATGAACACACATAACTGCATGGATCCAGTGCATTTTAAGAAAGCAGAGTCCATTTTAAGAAAGGGTGTCGCTAAGAAAATTAAACGTTTAAGACTTGAGATAATTTATATTTCTGTTAGGCCTGATTCCTATTAGGATGCTGACTGATTTCACTTAGGTTTGGGCGTGCAGGCCAGTGCTGATTTTCCAGGCCAAAGCACGATTCCTTAAATCAAACTCCAGGGGCATGCTGCTCCCCACAGTAGTCTAAATTAAAACTCAATGAAAGAAAAGACTATAATGAATCAAAGACATGTTTTGTCTAAAGAGTCTTAAAAATTATTCCATTTCTCATTTTAAAAGTTTCTGCCTTTTTAGAATTATCTCAGATTGTTTCCTTAAAGAGAAGTCCTTTTTAAAATGCTCATATTCTTTGAAGATTATATATTCAACTAACAGTAGAATCATATTATTTGTGTTCTGAGAAATTAAAGAATTGCAGAATTATAAAAGTAATTACTAGGAATAGTCTGATTCCTCTGGTAGACTAAAAAATCCTGGGTGTGTCACCCTGGGCAGATAGGAGAATTGTCACTAGACTTACCCCTCACTCATAGATTTGTTTCCACAGGAAATGGATGTTTTTGGAGAAATATGCAGAGTGGAATCTCAGTGGGACCGAGACCACCTTCTTTATGTCTTGATGGTCAGATGTGAAGAGATAAGACTATAGCTAGGGACCAATTGCCAAGGAGCAAGGGAAAAAAATTAGCTTTTTACAGTTCACTTAAACCTATTTAAAATGTAAAGATTTTGAATATCTTTTTAGTCTATTATTGGAAAGAGTAGTATACTTTTTTGTATGCTGTAAACCCATTTTTATATGTCTCACAGAAGGAGACCTGGAATTCAAAGTTCATCCCAAGAATTCTCAGAGAGTTCATTCCTGAACGCATCTATCATCCATGTCGTGGGGAGGGAGAGAGTAATTTCCCTGTACACTCAGTACTCTACGGGAATAGCTTTCATTTGGGAAGCTGACTGATTGGTAAATAAAATTATAGTTGTTCCATGAGAAAGAATGGAAGTAAGCCCTGAAAGAGAACAAGAAAGGAAAGCAGGTACAACTTTGCCAAAGATGTTGACAAGCCACCATGAATGCACACCTGAAAACACTTGACTTCATTGCTGAGCATAATGCGTTGGCAGCTCACACTATATATGGGGAAGAATTATTCACTATCTTCTTAGACATTTTTATAGTTTCAAAGACAAAGAGCCCCTTGGTGCCTTGGTGTCTGTACAGACAGAATTTAGGGAAATGCTCAGCCTACAAAACAGCCTAGGTCTGGTAGCAGGCTGTTTACTCCATGGGGAAGAATGCCAAATTCTTTGGAGGTGAATTTCTACAGGAAACTATGGGCTCATTTGCATTTTGCAGGTCCAATGCTATAAAATTTCACATAAGACATTTTTTTTTTAAAGCCCATAGAAGTTAAGTATCTGGATCAGCTTTTAGAAAAAGAGGCAGACTGGAGGTTCTTAGTATTGAGGGAAAATTAAAAAACAAACAAACAAACAGAAAATTATATAAACATAGATGGAATGTAGAAGAGTAAATTAATGGCTTTAGCTACCACTTCCATATAAAAATTGAGATTAAGTCAGTCGTTTCCCAGATCATAGAGTGGAGAAGAAATTCATGAACAAGCACTTCCTAGATATAATATGCAATAAAGCCTGGAGTTCATTTGAACTGCTGACTGAAGTGACTCATCATACCAGAGAAAGGAAGAATGAGAGAGAAAAGGTCTTCTATGTTACAATCACCAGGCTGGTTGGGAGAGGGGCTGGGGATAGAGGGGAAGTGAATCCAACAAGCTCCATCTGAGGACAGCTAACCTACTGCATGAGGCTTGATTTGCTTCTCTGATCTTTGCATTGGTAGAAATTTCCCAGGGACTTAAGAGACAGAGTGAGCTAGCTGCTATTTTAATATCTTTATGCTCTCAAGTAAGTTGTCAACCACATGATGGGCTTCAAGTTGGACATATTAGAACTCTCTTGAATTCACTACTGCCCAGCAAAGCATTGATCGGGAGGAGGGTTTGTTAGAATGCCCATTCCTTGGGAGGGAAATGAAGAATTGTGAAACTAACATTCAATGCTTCTGACAAGGCGTCAACAACTGGTGGGTATGCAGAAAAGACACAAAATGGGCTGCTCAGTCCCATAGAGCTATTATGGAGCCTAGTCATGCCTGGTTTCAATTGCTAATGTAGTTGTACATACTGACAAGTGAGCCTAAAGGAGCCAGGTATGCCTAGGCCTGTTTCTGAAGGTGCTTTTCTTTAAGTGACTTCTGCCCCAATTACAGAGAAGGTTCCAAGCAGCTGGACTGTTTCTCTGTACAGCTGGAAAATGGACATATATCCAACAAGTTATTTGCATTTTGGAGGGGCTAAAAATGATTCTTACTTTTTAATTCCTACTAAATACTATTAGGTTGGCCACACGGACTTGTTTCTCTTAATGCTGATTTCTTTATGATGACAAAGTAGCTGACATGAATGGAAGTTCATGTCTTTAGTGAATCCACTCTCTTCAGTGGTAATGTTCCTGAAGGTACAATATGTAATATGTGAAATGTGATAGTCATGGTCTTCTGGATGTTCCATGCATTTATAAACTGCTCTTAAGAAAATCCAGAGTAAGGAAACTTAAATGGTCTAGCATTTCTACTACATGACACTTCTCCTTCTACATGATTTTTTCAAAATTAACTCACTGAATTTCACAGTATGCTCATTTTTTTTTTATAATTTAGGAACCAATAAATTAATTTGTAGATTACCAAACCTGCTGATGCTTTTTATTTTCCCTTCCAGTTCTTGGTGTTTTGTTTGTTTATTTCATTTGTGTTTTGTTGTGTGTGTTTTTTTCTTCTGATTAGAATAGGCAGGACCAAAGAAAAATAAAACTCAAATCTAACAGTTATTCCTAGTGATTCCTAAAGACAACTTAAACTACTTTATAACATTGTATATTTATATTTTTGGGGAAAAGCTGTTTTTTTGTTGTTGTTTTTTTTTTTACTTCTCTCTTCTTGACACAGAAAGCCCTAAGTCAGTTTTATCTTTGTCTGGGGGAAGGGAGAGTAGGTCAAAATAGACCAACTTATTAGATCAAGGAGTGAAGAGGTTCCGCTGCCAAAGTTAAAGCCTGGTTACTGGGAAAGAGACTGCGGTTTTCCTAATTCCCCCTCACACACTGACTAGCCACTGACTAAGGGAGTGATCTGCATGAATGACACCGGGCAAGGAAGGAGAAATAGAAATGAGAAAACATAACACTCACGAAAGCAAGAATAATTGAAATAAAAACTTCCTCATTGCAAGGAGTGCAATCTATGGAGAGAAGTGCACAAATACACTTACATCTCTTCTGCTACATCCAAGCACATGGAAGAACCATACTGATGACTATCTTTGGGGAGATTTCGATACCACCAAAAATTCCTTCCCTTCCTTCAGTTTCTCCAGTTGCTCCCCCAGCAGCACATAAGCTTTTCACTTAGAAAACGCCTTTCCTCACGGTACTTGTGGACAAAGGGGTGCTGAAGGGAGGTTC